TATTTGATACAAAAGTTTCTATTTTCTTAATATCTTACCCTGTCGTTTTTAACCAGTTCCCTTAAAAATATGCAGCAGCAGAAAGGATCAACTAGATAAAAACAAAATGGAAAAGGCAAATGCTGAAATAAGGCCACAAAATAGATGTCAAGGCAGTAGCAAACATTTTTTTATCTTCGAGAGTTAAGCCTTTGAAGTTCTCTTCCTCAAAATTGGGTGCAGAATCTTTAATTTTTTTTAAAAGGCAGAGGTAGATAGATTCTTGATTACCAAGGAGATGAAAGCTTATCTGGGTACACAGGTGTGTAGAGTTAAGTTTGTAACCAGTTGTAAGAAAGCAAAAGAAATGAAAGTCATTCGATCTTAAATTAAGTCAGCTATCAAACTGGTAAATAATGATTAAATGAGAATGGAACATATTGTCAGCAACATTGCAATGTATTAAAACAAGTCGAATAACGCCTGCAGCTAATTGTCCAATTTCAGCCATTTCTCCAATCTGGGACCTTAAATTCTGTTAATGATGGAAATTCCTGATTTTTCAAAATTAACATTTTGGTAAGACTGATCAGGGAAAGACTTTTTTTTCTAATTAGAGCCAGAGCAAGGGGGTGTTTGCTATAAATGCCTGTACTCACTGACAGTGGATAGGAAAATTCATGTTTCAGGTCTAAAAACTAAAAACTGCAAATGCTGAAGATCTGAAATAAAATCAGAAATTGCTAGAGAAATTCAGGAACTCAGGCAACATTTGGGGAGAGAAAGCAGAGTTAGTGCTTCAAATTCAGTGACCCATTTCTGAAGAAGGGTCCTGAACCCAAATGTCAACTTTCCTGCTCCCTGACGCTGCCTGGCCTGCTGTGCTCCTCCAGCTCCACATTGTGTTATCTCTGACTCCAGCATCGCAGTTCTTACTATTTCTGAAAGACGTGGACTTGATGGGTGCCTCCAATAGGGATATTTTTAAATAAACAAAATAAGAAGAGGTCAAAATATTAATCTCAGTACTGCATGCACAAGTAACCTGAGGGCCAATAACATGACTAGATGCAGGACTACAGCAAATGAAAATCTTGCCTCTCATAATGCAATTGAAAATCAACAGAACAAAAAGAGGTGAAAATATCATTGTAGAAAGAGAAACAAAATAAAGTACTTTATAAAAATGTTATAAAGGGTCTGCTCTCTGAAGAAGCTACTGTATAGTAAACCTACTCTGATATTTTAAATGGTACATTCCAGATGTTGTCTTAGACATTAAGTTGCAATCACTGATTAAGTGAAAGCAATTGATCTTTCTAGGTCACTTTATAATGAACGGAAGTGTGAAACATTTTGTGTATTAACAACAATAGACTCTGATACATGCTTAAAAACTAAAAACTGCAAATGCTGAAGATCTGAAATAAAATCAGAAATTGCTAGAGAAATTCAGGAACTCGGGCAACATTTGGGGAGAGAAAGCAGAGTTAGTGCTTCAAATTCAGTGACCCTTTTCAGAACCGGTAGCAGCTAGGACAGGGTCGGAGGTGCGGATGGATAAAGACATGGAAAAAGGTATTCAGGCCCTAAAATTGTTGCATTCGATATGAAGCCCTGAAGGGTGCAGGTTGCCAAGTTTTTTTTTTAATTCATTCATGGGATGAGGGTGTTGCTGGCTAGGCAGCATTTATTGCCCATCCCTAATTGCCCAGAGGGCAGTTAAGAGTCAACCACATTGCTGTGGGTCTGGAGTCACATGTAGGCCAGACCAGATAAGGATGGCAGTTTCCTTCCCTAAGGGGCATTAGTGAGCCAGGTGGGTTTTTCCAACAATTGGCAATGGAGTCACAGTCATCATTAGACTCTTAATTCCAGATTTTTTTTGAAAATTCAAATTCCTCCATCTGTCATGGTGGGATTTGAACCAGGTCCTCAGAACATTAGCGAGGTCTCTGGATGAACTGTCCAGCGATTATACCACTAGGCCATTGCCTCCCTGTTAAGTGGAAAATGAGATGACCTGGGCTGCTTTCAGCATAGCCAACCCATTTTTACCTACTTATTCCTATTATCAGCTATTCTCCTTCCCTGGCATACCATTAAACATTGCTTTGACCACCTAACTTTCTCTCTCTCTGGGCTCCATCTCTACCTATCCACTCACTCCTTCCTTCCTTCACCCCCATCAGCATAGATACTACCCTTTCCTAGCTGTTGTCAGTTCCAAAGAATGGTCACTGGACTCAAAACAAGATGCTGCCAGACCTGTTGAGTTTCTCCAGCAATTTCTGTGTTTGTTTCTGATACATGTTTCCTGACCAGACCTTGGTAACACCATCACATGACATTAACTAAACTTTCCGTTGGTAATTTACAAACATGCTAATTACCATGATTCTATATTTAACAATGTAAATATACTGGAATTTTCAATACCCTGGTGGCAAATTAAGTATGAACAAAATTTGCACTGACTCATGAAAAAGATCACAATATTCAAACATCATGAAAATAATTTGGAGAAAAATCCATTAAAATCAGAGGACAGAAGAACCCTTATAAAGTAATGGAAATCCCCAACATTTTTGTATTGAAATACTTAACCTAACGCTTCTTTCGCTGCACAGTTCTGATGAAAGGTCACAGCCATGAAATATTAACTCTGTTACTCTCTCCATTAATGCTGTCATGCCTGGTTGAATATTTCCAGCATTTCCTATTTTAATCTCTTCACTCCACAATGACTTCTATGAATCTACAAGACTTGTTTTGGAAATACAAACTGTTTTAACTATTATTACTTGTGCACTAAGAGGTGGTAGTGTGCCACAGATTACTCAGCGTCCAACTTCTGTGGCAACGTATACTGTTCCACATGTAGTAATCTGGAGCTATGGACATGATGATGGCAGCGGCTCCAATTTTCTATCACGTGGCTGACCACTTACACTTGCCATTGGTGTGTGCTGGAAAGATTAAGGTTGATAGTTTGTCCATATTATGAATATACCTTGTTTTGCAATCAAGTCCTGGGATGCAATTTAAACCCAGAGCCTCTGTCTTACAGTCAGGGATGCTACCCACTGCAATAAAAAAAGCTTGCAGTGCATGGCATCACTTCATATTCTAATTACTATAAAAGACATTTTTCCTAAATTCCTTAGTGTGTTTATTGGCTACTTTATGAATATTGTTCCAGCTTTGTCTCAATCTATACTAGAAGAGCCCCAGCCTGGTTAATCTTTGCTAGAATCATAGAATCCCTGTAGTGCAGAAAGAAGCCATTCAGCCCATGGAGTCTGCACCAACCCTCTGAAGAGCATCCCACTTAGACCCAGCTCCCCACCCTAGCCCTCTAACCTCGCATTTACCATGGCTGATCCACCTACTCTACACATCCCTTGACACTACAGGGCAATTTTGCATGGTCAATCCACCTAACATGCACATGGCAGAAACCCATAAAGACACAGGGAAAACATGTAAACTCCACACAAAGTCATCCAAGGCTGGAATCAAACCTGGATTTCAAGTTCTACGAGGCAGCAGTGCTAACCACCAAGCCACACTGACACCCAAGAGACTACAACAGCTTAAAATAGCTCAAATTATCCAATTAATATCAAACAGAGTGATGCCAATTACTCAGTTCTTGTCTTCCAAATTAATACTACGGTCACATTTAGCATGTTACATATGGCATTAGTTTTAAAAACATGTTGTTGAATGAATAGCAAAATGGAATGCCAACTTGGTTTGTAAAATATGCAAGTCAATGCTAATCCTGTCTCAGACTTATACCCAGAGGAAGGACAATTTAATTTATACTTGGTAAACTCTTGTATATGATTATTCACTTAGATACATTAAATGTTCAAGATCCTGTCACAGCACATTCAAGGTTACCACTTCTGTATTTTAACAAGTTTTCTTCTGGCCCTGCATAATCCCAGCCACAAGTAATCACATGCTATTTAGCTTCAATACTCCTATACTTCATTGACAACACAGGGCATTTATGGTAGAAAACACAAGAAATCTGGAAAGGGTGCAAAAAGAAAAATTCACAAGAATTTCATTGAGACTGGAAGGTTTGAGTTAGCAGGGTAGGCTGGGACTGTTTTCTCTGGAGCACAGGAGGCTGAGAGGTGACCGTATAGTGGTGTATAAAATCATGAGGGGTATTGATAAGATGAATAACCAAGGTCTTTCCCCCCCACCCCAAGATAGGGGAATCCAAAACTAGAGGGCATAGTTTTAAGGTGAGAGGGGAAGATTTAAAAAGTGCCTGAGGGGCAACTTTTTCCAGAGAGGGTGGTGCTTATATGGAACGAGCTGCTGGTGTAAGTGGTAGAGGCAGGTACAATGTTTAAAAGGCATCTGTTCGGGTAGATGGATAGAAAAGGTTTAGAGGAATATGGGCCAAACACAGGCAAATGGGACTAGTTCAATTTAGGAAGTCTGATTGACACAGACAAGTTGGGACCAAGGGTCTATTTCTATGCTGTATGACTCTAAAACCGACCAAAGACTAAAGATAACCTTTCCTAAACTGGGCAGTACCAAACTGAAATCTCATACATTTTTTTCCTATGAGACAGAGGAAGGGATTTGATGAATTGTTCATCAAACATACTAAATGCTTCCTTCTCCAGACACTTTCCCCAAGTCAGAACTTTAAACCTAGTGAAGGATCCAAAAGGACAATTTAATTTCATGTGCCCCAAGGTATTTTGATTGAATTTGTATTTCGTATGAGTTAGAAGCAGGAACAGATGGAGCTACTCACACTGGGAAGAACATGTTAAGGGTTTGCCAGCTCCCCAACATCTGTTCGATTATTTGGATACTTTGATTGCTCAGCAACACAGTTCCACTCATGGAAATAATAGTGCAGCCCAGTAGCCATCTCCATGTGCTACAAACACTGAAATCAGAGAACACTGGGAAGTAATTTAAACCAAAGGCAATCTTGTCATAATAGTAGCAAAAAAAAAAAAAGCACTAACAGACACTGCCTCCTTTGAACAAGTGAGGTTTTATTAGTAAAACTCAGTACAATGATAGTCTAAACCATTGTAAAAGCTGGTAGTGTGAGCAGTAAGATTCAGGCAACATATTTGAAGCTCTGGACGCTTTCTACAGCAATTGAATGACTATTGTACGTACACGAGGCTGAGTTGGGGCTTCCGTCGATTTAGAAGAAACAGGATCACCCTTCTACAGTTCAGGACAAAAGTCATGTAGAAATTTGAGTGATTTCCTTTTAAAAAAAAAACTGAAGTCACTGACAAATGAATTGCTTTTTTGCTCTCAGTAGAAAATAGACCGAAATATACCATGGCTGCAGGGCAGAATCAGCTGAGTCAACACAAAGGCTGACGATATAGTGAAGACATTTAAATACAGAGTACAGAACTTGCCCAAGTATTGTCAGAAATATCCTGAAATTAATTAAATACGTAACACAGCTATATGGACTACATGCTTGCTGCATTTTCAAGAATTTCATTTTGAAATTAAAAACCACATCACTGCTCACAAAAGGCATCAATAGAAAATAATGGTATGTGTCAAAATAGTACTTAAATCACAGAAGAAAATCTGTATTGGTAGTCAAGTTTAAATTATTACAAAATGAAGAGAAATATTTTATAATGCAGAGGTGAAAGATACTGGCAGCAAATGTGATTTATAACGTTTACAACTGTACAGAGGCAATTCCATTTTTGCTTTTTAAAAAAAGGCTGCAACTCACAGAAACAATGCAGTACCTGTATATTTGGAATAATTGTTAGGTGGATTTCACATTGCAGTTTCACCACCAAAAGATTTGGTGAGCTGTAAAAACCAGCACCATCAATTCAATAATAGTTCTCAACATCAAAAGAAACTAATGCAAAAAAAATGAATTTCATCTATTCATTTTGAACACCATCTAACTCAACTATGTCATAGTTCATTTTTATTTGCTCGGTTGCCTTTCTGTGAAACTGTTGCATCTTTTTTCTTATCAGGCTTGATTTCATTCTTCTTTTTCTCTGCTGCCTTTCCGGGGTATGTCTGTCCTTCAACAGTAACGTCTACACAGCGCTCCTGATTTATAAGGAAGTCTTTAATCTCCCAAGCATAGCTTCCATCACGCAGCATGAATATGGCACGATCAGAACCAACAACAAACCTAGGAAACAAAATTTAAAAAAAGGTGAATTTTCCTCAAGTTAGACAGAAGCAGGCAATACCCACATAACCTAATCAAAATTAAGGATCGACCAGGGAACAGAGGTGACAGGAGATTGATTGGATTCTTTGATCCAATATTGACAAGGTCACTAGTTTTTGCTGTACCTTTACAGATCTTTTACTCTATCCAAGAAATGCTTTTCTTTCCCCCATTCTTTCATGGGATGTGGGCATTGGTGGCCAGCATTTGTTATCCACCCCTATTTGCCCATAATTTAAATGGCTTGCTAGGCCAAACATCGAACACAGAGAAGACTTCCTCCCCTAAAGGAAGTTAGTGAACCAGATGGGTTTTTACGATAATTAATGCTTTTCACGGTCACCATTAATACCAGATGTTATTAACTGAATTTAAAATTCCACCGGCTGCAGCCATTAGGTTTGAATCTATGCCCCAGAATACAAATCGGGACCTCTGGATTATTAGTCCAGTGACATTACCACCACGCCATCATCACATGAGGAAAAACCATGTGGAAAAACATGTGGATCAAAAAGGCTAATAGAATGCAGACTTCGCTCTTAAAGAGGCTGGAATTGTAGTGTTACAGTTGCAGTTCCTTGATTAGACCCCATCTGGAATACTGCATCCTGCTTTGAGCACCACATTTTAGGAAGATGGCGTGAAGGAGAATGGAATGCCAATTCATCAGCTTGAAAGGTTAAATCAGCAGGACAGATTGTATAAACTTGGCTAGTACTCCCAAATTCTGATCAAGTTGTTTAAAATCATGGAAGCATTTGATAACCTAATTAGAGAAGCTGTTTTGGATTTTCACCAGAGAAAATAAAGGAACACGAACTTAAAATTAGAATTTGGCTATTTAAGAGTGAAATCACAAAGCATGTTTTCCATACAAAAGGCCAGGAACATCTACAACACTTTCTCCAAACAACTGTAGAAGCTAAAACCAACAGAGAGATAGAACTTCATCAGGGGAGGGCATTAAAAACATGAGTCAAATGCAGCTCAACAAAATTGAGGCAGAGATCAGTCATGATCTGGCTGAGTGGGTTACATAGATTTCAAGTGCTAAATGGATAGTTCTTTAATGCTCCAAAGCAAGTTCTTTGGCTAATGTGGCTGGATTGTCTTCTCTACATTCCACTTCTCTTCAACGTATTAAAGTGTATTGTGCTCCTTCACAGGTACATTATCTGGTTTGAAAATGAGCTAGCAGGATATTGAAGACAGGTGGCTAAACATATGGCAATCGGTTTGAAGGGACAATTGTAAAAAAAGATAGAAGGTAGAAAGGTGTAGAAAGAGTTCTCCTTTATTCGTTCACAGGATGTGGTCATCATTGGGTAAGCTGACATTTACTGATAACCCACATTATCCTCCAGAAAGTGATGGTGAGCTACCTTTCTGAACTAATGCAGTTCCCGTGGTGACGGCACATCCACAGTGCTACCAGGGAAGTATTCCTGGATTTTTACCCAGCAGTAGTGCAGGAATGGTGATATAGTTCAAAGTCAGAATGGCGAGTGGCTTGGAGGGGAACTTGCAGGTGGTGGTTTTCCCATGTATTGACTCCCTTATGCTTCTGGCAAAGAAGTTGCAGGTTTGGAAGGTGTTGTCTAAGGAGCCTTGGTGAGTTGTTGCAGTACATCTTGTAGATGATACACATTGCTGTCTCTGTGTATTCATGATGATAGGCGTTGGTGGTGATAGATGGGTAGCAATCAAGCAGGCTGTTTTGTCCAGCAGAGCTTACAACTGATTAATTTGTTGTGGATTGCTTGGCTCTGCTTATTGCATGTTGCTACACTTCTTGGCACGTAAACTGTTCTGTGCTATAGTTTCACTACATTGACACCTCATTGAGGCCAAGCTTTCAGCACTCTTCATTGAGCAACAGGTCGATTGCCTAATTTGGTGGTAACAGTAGAGCAAGGGAATGCTGGGCCATGAAATTACAAATTTTAATTAAATACAATTCAGTTGCAGTTGATGGCATACAATCAGCCTCATGGATGCCCAGTCTTGAGTCATGAACATATGAACTGGAGGAGTTGGCCATTCAGCCCCTTAAGCCTGTCCCATCATTCAATAAAATCATGACTTATCTGTCGGTTTTGAATTCTACATTCCCATCAATGACCGATAATTTTGGATTCTCCTACTAATAGGAATCTATTCCTGCTTTAAGAATATTCAGCAACCATCCCAACTACCACCTGAGGAAGATAGCACCAGAGACTCTCAACCCTCAAATAAAAACAAACAAAAAAGTCTCAGCTGTCCTAAAATAGCTAGCCCCTAATTTTTAAAACTGTATCCCTTACTTCTGGACTTATCCATAAGACAAAACATTCTTTCCATGTTCACCTTGTCATCAGTTTGAAGCGAGAGTTAAACGATAACCAGGAGGATGACAGCTCGATCATGTTTGACTCAATGGTATGAGACTTCATGGGGCCCACAGTCAACATTGAGGACTCTCAGAGCAACCTCCTCCTAGTGGCCATACTGGCTGTCGCACCTGTGCAGTTTTCATGTCTGTTGGATAGTGATTGCCCAGGAACGACAACGGCGATGTTCGAGACATTGCAATTTCGAGACTAAGAGCTCAGATAGTTGAAGACGTGGCTGTCAGCATTACAGTCAACGAAATCACGGATGCATAAGTGAACTGAATTAGACAGGTGGATTGTGGGGCTGGGAGGAAGTTACAGAGTTTGGGAGGGGTGAGCCCGTGGAAGACTTTAAAACAAGGGTAGAATTTTAAAATCAAGACATTACCAGCCTAGGAGCCAATATGGGTCAGAAACCGCAGGAATTAGGACTGTGGAGAGCATGGTGCAAAATTAGGGTATAAAAACTCTGGAGCAAATATTTGAAACCAACATGCACAGCCAGGATGGAGGACCTGCGCTTACAGTGATGTACAAACAAAAAGGAGAGGAAGAAAACAGCTGGTTCCATCAAGCCAATGTTTCCCAGGTTCCTCTAGGTTTCCTTCACCCACCTATGGTGCACATCAGGGACGTTTGACAATATAGCCCAAAAATTTTATCCATAAATTCATAATTCCCTGACACAAATGGCTGGCAAACAACGTACAAGTCAGCAACTTAGAATCACAGATGTTTACAGCACAGAACAAGATTACTCGCCCATTATGTCAGTTATGGCCCTTGGCAGCAGCAATTCAGCTCCTGTCACTCATCCATCTTTTGCTCAAAGCCCTGATTTTTTTTTTTCCAGATAGTGATCCAATTCTCTTTTCAGTCACACTTGAATCTATCTTCATCACACTCAGGCAATGTATTTCTGATCCTAATCACTTGCTGAGTCAAAGAAGTTTTGCCTTTATGTCACCATTCCTTCTTTTGCCAAGTACCTGAAATCTATACCTGCGGATTGTTGATTCTTCAATAAATGGTAACAATTTCTATCTACTCTGTCCAGGCCCCTCAAGATTTTGAACACCTCTATCAAATTCCCCCTTCTTTTAATCACTTCTCCAATAAAGAACAGTCCCAGTTTCTCTAAACTATCTACATAATTTAACTCCAGTAGAACTGTAATTGAGAATTACTGCATGCCTGTCTTTTTCTAAAAATAGAAACATCAAGCAGTTGCTTAATTTAATGTCCCAACTTGTATCATAATATAATGATTACTTACGAGATTCCTCCATCTTAAAAAAAAAATGAAACCGTGCAGAAGAAATCTATTAGACTTCAGATTTGTAATGCTCAGATTAAGTTGATCCAGAGTGTAATACAACACATCTGCCAGACCTCCAAAAGATACATATTAACCAATAGTAGACAGTAACAGCATAGCCAAGGTAACACTTCAGTTCACTAACATTATGATCAATGTTTTAAAATCTACATGCACTTATTACGTATCAATTCCTGTATAATCTTTTATAATGATTCTTTGGTATTATTGGGTATTTAAGCTTGGTGGTGCTGTTGCATTATTTTTGAGAACAATGACCATGGAACATGGTACAGCCAGCTTCAGACCCTATCCTGGAGCGAGCTTGTTCAACATATGGCCCATTGGTAAGACTGAATTGCGAAGGTAATCCCTTTAAAAGCAGGGAAGGTACCATGCTATAAAGCGTTAAATTATCCGAGGATTCATACGATTTTCCCACAGTTCACCAGCTTTTCACGACATCAAAATGCAGAAGTGGAGAGTAGGCTATGATAAGAATCAGGAACCAGGAGAACAGTCCATAAAATAGGTGCCATAACTGCAGTGAAAAAGACTAAGCATGGAGGGTGGGGGTGACAAGCCGACATGATGGAATAGTTATAATGGGGTCCTTAACTGCCTGAATATTAACTGGAATAGTAGTCATGTTAAAGACAGAGAGGACAAGCATTCTTAGATTTCAGGAGGATTTCCCAGTAATATAGCGTAACAAGAAAGAAGCCACTGCTATACTCGTTTCTTGGAACGAGGTGGGCAAAGCACATCAAAATGTCAATAGGTTAACATTTATGGGATAGTGATCATTGTATCATAAGGTTTCAGATGAAAATAGAAAAGGACAATGGGCAACCCAGAGTAAGAATAATTATCTTCATTAGTGCCAATTTCAATGTCTCACTCCAATGCTGCGTGTGCAATCAACCAATCCCCTGTTCTTATGCTCAATATAACTGGGTTCTGGAGTAATTCTGAGATTACTGCTCTTGAGGTCCTGCTTTTTAAATTCTCCTCCTAGCTTCCTGAATTCTACTTTCAGGACCACATCCCTCTTCCAACTCAGGCAGTTGGTATCAATGTGGACCATGACTTCTGGCTGATCCCCTTCATTGGGATGATGATCTGCAGCCTATGACATCGGTGACCCTGGAACCTGGGAGGTGACACATCATCCTGGTATCAAATTTCACACCACAGAAACACTTATTTGCCCCTACCCCCCCCACCGACTCCAGAATCACCGATCACTATTGCCCATCCAT